CTTTACACAGAGACGACAACAGAATTGTTTTCAAAAACTTGCACTTTGGGGCCATTTACATGACAGTGTTTTTAACTAAAAATGGAAAACTATATGCGTTTGAGACGTTTATTTACGCGTTTTGGGGGATTGAAGATGCAAGTTTTTGAAAACTATTAATGTCTCCGTGTAAACTACAAAAAAACGAATTTGTGAAAACAGTGACGTCATGCGCACGCGTATTATGTGTTCAGTCTATAGACGTTTTTTTAATCGTTTTCGTGGATGTGTGTGAACGGGGATCGTTTTGATAATGTTGTCATCTGTAGGCTACGTGAAAAGTGCAAAGTAAAAACTTTTCCGTTTTTAGTACATTATTGTCGTAGACTTTGAAACCCATTTTCAGGCCCTCAAAATGCTGTTGTCAGGTAAATGAACGGCCAAAACGCATAATTTTCACCGACGGCGAAGATACAGTATTGTTTACAAAAACGTTGAATCCCATTTTCAAAAGTTTTCGTTTTCCCTCAAAATGCTGTTGTCGTGTAAACAAACAGCCAAAACGCATAAAATGTTTTCCATTTTTAGTTGAAAACACTTGCCATGTAAACGGCCCCTATATTCCATCCAGTCTGAGAATATCAAACATGTTTGATATTTTGAGCCGGTGTTCTGACGATTTGTGCTGCCTTGTCGAAAAATGCTACCGTAACGCGAATCGATCACAGAATGTCGATTAATATTATATGAAATACAATTATAATACAATTCTAAGTTATGAGTAGCTACTGTATACTGTAGACTACTGTTTTTATTTTTAAAACGGTGTGAAAATTAAAAATTATCATCAAATATTCATCTTTGACTTGTCAAAGCACACTTTTCCTTAGTAACTGAAACTTTCAGTTATTATTGTTCAGCTGGCTGACCGTACACATATTCATATGCTAGTTAGCATTTTTAAAGGGAAATTACAATATAACACATGAAAATGTACCTTTTGTTAAAAAAAAACTGTGCGTCTGCACATGCGCATAACCATTAAGTAGCAAATCTCGATGGGTAGCATGAATCGTCAGAACACCTGTTTTAGAACACATTGTTTCCATTTGGCATGTGTCTCCACCAAACCATGTTTCTGCATTCAATTGTTATGTTCTTATGGTTTAAAAGTCTGGTAGTGTGATCCTCAGGCGTTTAGTGTATAATGACTAGTGTTTTAAAATCTATTCAGATTTTAAAGGTTGTGTAGTGTATTCCAGCCTTTACATTTAGACTATTCAGTCCATTTGGCACATTGAGGAATCTCATTTATGTGCGTCTGTGATCTTTCCAGGAACCTCTCAGTCTGACCACTAAACTGTAACCCAGCAAAGCCTGTGTAACGAGGCGATGCAAAGTAACAGGCTATTGCATAACCTAGTGACGCTCGTTCTCTTTCTTCTCTCCTCTCTCCTTTAGCAGGGTTAGTCTTAATCCTGCTGGTGACCTTGTTCCATGGAGCCAGAGAATAGAAGAGTTATTAAGCTGTCATACACCCTGATCATCATAAAAGGAACTCAAGCTTACTGAATGCTTGACAAATTATGAAGTATAACATTTTTGGTGGCAAACCACAGAAAAGTTACATACCTAAAAATGTGTAATTCTTAGAGACTGAGTACCATATTTACTGTTATACAACAGTTCCAGTAGTCAAATCTGATTGGCTGAGCTGCGAGATATATATATATATATATATATATATACACTCACCGGCCACTTTATTAGGTACCCCATGCTAGTAACGGGTTGGACCCCCTTTTGCCTTCAGAACTGCCTCAATTCTTCGTGGCATAGATTCAACAAGGTGCTGGAAGCATTCCTCAGGGAGTTTGGTCCATATTGACATGATGGCATCACACAGTTGCCGCAGATTTGTCGGCTGCACATCCATGATGCGAATCTCTCGTTCCACCACATCCCAAAGATGCTCTATTGGGTTGAGATCTGGTGACTGTGGAGGCCATTTTAGTACAGTGAACTCATTGTCATGTTCAAGAAACCAATTTGAAATGATTAGAGATTTGTGACATGGTGGAAGTAGCCATCAGAGGATGGGTACATGGTGGCCATAAAGGGATGGACATGGTCAGAAACAATGCTCAGGTAGGCCGTGGCATTTAAACGATGCCCAATTGGCACTAAGGGGCCTAAAGTGTGCCAGGAAAACATCCCCCACACCATTACACCACCACCACCAGCCTGCACAGTGGTAACAAGGCATGATGGTTCCATGTTCTCATTCTGTTTACGCCAAATTCTGACTCTAACATCTGAATGTCTCAACAGAAATCGAGACTCATCAGACCAGGCAACATTTTTCCAGTCTTCAACTGTTCAATTTTGGTGAGCTCTTGCAAATTGTAGCCTCTTTTTCCTATTTGTAGTGGAGATGAGTGGTACCCGGTGGAGTCTTCTGCTGTTGTAGCCCATCCGCCTCAAGGTTGTGCGTGTTGTGGCTTCACAAATGCTTTGCTGCATACCTCGGTTGTAACGAGTGGTTATTTCAGTCACTGTTGCCCTTCTATCAGCTCGAACCAGTCTGGCCATTCTCCTCTGACCTCTGGCATCAACAAGGCATTTCCGCCCACAGAACTGCCGCTCACTGGATGTTTTTTCTTTTTCGGACCATTCTCTGTAAACCCTAGAGATGGTTGTGCGTGAAAATCCCAGTAGATTAGCAGTTTCTGAAATACTCAGACCAGCCCTTCTGGCACCAACAATCATGCCACGTTCAAAGTCACTCAAATCACCTTTCTTCCCCATACTGATGCTCGGTTTGAACTGCAGGAGATTGTCTTGACCATGTCTACATGCCTAAATGCACTGAGTTGCCACCATGTGATTGGCTGCTTAGAAATTAAGTGTTAACGAGCAGTTGGACAGGTGTACCTAATAAAGTGGCCGGTGAGTGTATATATACAGTATATGTTTAATTGTTCATATAAGTCAGTTACTCTGTTTATGCTGTTCCAGACCATATATGTAAGTGGTGCTGAGTGGAAGCCAAGCAAAGATAGAGCACTCTTGCTCATGTGATATTGCTTAAATCAATTTACAGTTTTAACAGTGTATTCATGTGGAATGCTTCTTCATTCGATTTAAAATGTAGCTCTTAAAGGGCTCCTATTATGCCCTTTTACGAAGTCTTGATTTTGTTGTTGGGGTGTACCAGAATATGTTTTCATGCTTGATTGGTTAAAAAACCACAGTTTTTTACATATTTTACATTATTGCAGGCAGCTCCTCTCTCCCCAGTCCGATTTCCATGAAGCCCCTCCTTCCGAAATACGAAATGTGCTGTGATTGGTTAGCTGGCCCAGTGTGTTGTGATTGGCAGTGCTTAGCTCGTGTTCGGGAAGTGTCCTGCCCTTCGATAACTGCAAGTTCTTCTCTAGTGTAAATAGTAATGATGTTGTCAATTTCAAACCATTTCGAGCCCAATTCAGACCCTGACAATGTTAACAAACAAGAGGATCGTGCAGAACGTATTTATTGCACAGACTTTGCAAGCACAGATTTCACAAGACGTTTCAGAGCGATATGTTTTTTGTAATTTTCTTATACATTATACAATGTTATCCACCATTTAATCATGATATTTGTCTGAAAAATTAGGTAATACAAACAGTAATCGATCCCAAAACCATGGTTAATTTTCCTAATGAGCAGTGAACGTTCTTACAACGCTTACAAAAGGAACAGAAAACAAGCTGTTTTCCATAAAATGTCCAGCACACAGATAAACGTTGGGGTTATAATGTTCAGGAAAATAAGTTTTAATCACTCAAAAGTTTGTCAGCCTTAGGAAGTTAAAACAAATGAGTTTTGGAAATGACGCATGCAGTGTCTCATTGACACAAGTATTCCGGAATTAATTTGCGTATTCCGTGGGCGGGGATTATTTAAAGGTTCTCTAAGCGATCCTGGGTGACGTCACTTCCTGTTGACGTTCGAACTATTGTCAAACAAAACGGAGTCTAGCTAGACCCTCCCTCCTCCTCATCCGCACACTAACCCCCCAAACATTGGCTGGAACAGTTTGTTATGTTTCGGGGAGCGGGTCGCCGCAGTTTGTTTTTGTTGCTGTTTGTGGAGACTGGGCTGTCTACAGAGATCGCGTTTCTTTACAGTGTGTTCAGGGGACAGGCAGCCAGCGGACAGTGAGGAGATGTTTGCTGTATGTGCCAAAAAATGTTTTGACCTAAAAAACGCGTGACATCGCTTAGAGCACCTTTAACAGGATCCCCTTTTTAAAAACTATAACGAACGGCTCGTTTGTACTATACAGCGTGATTTTTCCGGATCTTATGAAGTCACAATGTTACTCATTTAAAGGTGCTCTAAGCGATGTCACGCGTTTTTTAGGTCAAAACATTTTTTGGCACATACAGCAAACATCTCCTCACTGTCCGCTGGCTGCCTGTCCCCTGAACACACTGTAAAGAAACGCGATCTCTGTAGACAGCCCAGTCTCCACAAACAGCAACAAAAACAAACTGCGGCGACCCGCTCCCCGAAACATAACAAACTGTTCCAGCCAATGACCGACAAGAAGGGTTTGGGGGGTTAGTGTGCGGATGAGGAGGAGGGAGGGTCTAGCTAGACTCCCTTTTGTTTGACAATAGTTCGAACGTCAACAAGAAGTGACGTCACCCAGGATCGCTTAGAGAACCTTTAAATAAAATATCTTCCTTTGGAGGACTTTGAGCTTTGTAATGTTGAAGATCGTTTTTATGCTCAAACAGCAACATTACAGACTAACTAAAGTTGAAAAGTGGAAAAGCATAACCCTCGTTTAAAAATAGAGGTTTTCATAACAATGCTATAAAAAAAATCATTTCGGGTTCACCAAAGAATCAAATTTTGCCTTGTTTTAGCCGTTAGGGCTGTGTTTGGATGGCTATTGGACGTCTTTTGAACGCAAAATTGCTTGCTGGGAAGGGTATGTTATGACGTCAAAAACTTAAACATCCTGAATGGAAGGAGTTGTCTCCTTTCGGTTTTCACTTACGGCAGGCAGTGTGGCAGAAGGCACATGTGTTTCCAGAGTCAACAGCGTGCTCATTGTTAGTCCAACCGGGCACATTTAAAGGATCTTTATCGTGTCATTCCGCGGGGGTGGTGGTCGAGGTGGGGGTCGTGGCGGTGGTTTTAACAGAGGTGGTGGTCGTGGAGGTGGATTCGGAGGTGGTCGTGGAGGTGGATTCGGAGGTGGTCGTGGAGGTGGATTCGGAGGGGGTCGTGGAGGTGGATTTGGAGGGGGTCGTGGAGGTGGAGGTCGAGGTGGATTTAACAGATATCAAGACTTTGGTCCACCGGAATATGTTATCGCTGTGGGAGAGTTCCTGCACCCCTGTGAGGATGAAATTGTCTGTAAATGTGTGACGGAGGAAAACAAAGTCCCCTACTTCAACGCTCCTATATATCTGGAAAACAAAGAACAGATTTGAAAAGTGGACGAGATCTTTGGCCAGATTCGTGATTTTTATTTTTCAGTCAAACTTTCTGAAAATATGAAGGCATCCTCCTTCAAAAAGTTACAGAAGTTCTACATCGACCCCATGAAGCTGCTGCCCCTCCAGAGATTCCTCCCCAGGCCTCCAGGTGAGAAGGGGCCGCCCCGTGGAGGTAGAGGAGGAGGAAGAGGTGGAAGAGGAGGAGGCTTCCGTGGAGGTCGTGGAGGATTTGGCGGACGTGGAGGTGGCAGAGGAGGTGGTGGTGGAGGGTTCAGAGGAGGCCGAGGTGGAGGCGGTGGACGTGGATTCAGAGGTGGAAGATGATGAAGAACTCATAGGGTGGGATCTGTCCTTTCATCTGCTGTGGAAACAGGTGAGAAGCCAGAAGCAGCATTTGGGGCCTTGCCAGAGTCTTTTGACTGTTAATTAATGCCTCTCTTGTACAGCTGAACTTTTTACTTTTTGTATTATAAATGTATTTTCTCAGCAGTGGATTTTTTTATTTGATCTACTGATAGGACTAATGTTTTAAGTTGCCACGTGTCTGTGTACAAGAGGACGGGAGTCTCCACAACCTTACGTGGTTGGTTTGCATCCACTTGCGTTTTTACATTTGCTGGAGGTTGGACCAGTATCTGCTTTAACAACGTAACGTAACAGGTTGTGTTATGTAGTGACAAAATGGTGAAGCTAACTCCACAAATAATGATGTAAAACACTTTCATTGTTGGATAATAATGGATGTCTGCATTTACAGAATTGCAAATTGTTTCAGTTGACCTCCAGATGCCACCATGGACTTGCAAAATAAAATCTATGTTATGTGCAAAAAAAAAAAAAGGAGTTGTCTCCTTTATTATTGTTGTGGTTGATATTATGTGATGTATGCTTTCTATTTTGTATGTTTCTGTTCTCTGCAAAAAAAAAAATAAAATCCTGAATGGAAGGAAACACTGTCCAAAACTTACCTCCAAACTAGAGTCTTGTTGCTGGGTTGAGCACAGGAGCTGCTAGCTTCTACTTTTAGTGTTTTAGCGCCGACCGCTGGTTCTCAACGCAAATGACAGGTTGGTGTTATATAAGCGGTTAAACACCATGGTAAAATGGTTCAATATAATATATATAGGCTACTGAATTTTTAAACACATTTGGGATTCCAATATCTCCAAGAGAATATATTATTGTTTTTGATGCAATACCTGCAGGTTTTTTTTAGACTTTTGCGAGGCAGTAGTGAACCTCATAAGCAATCAATTGTTTAAAAAACATTTTTGTTAAACGGTGTTTACAATGTAATAATAAATTTTTCAGATGCCTGATACATTGCAACACCTCGAAATAAATACTTTTGGAAGGACCATTTTGAAAATATTAGTTGGAGATTGATTTGGACTTATAACAAATACTGTATCAATGATAAAATCACCAGTAAATACGTTACAGTGTTTCCCATGATGCATTTAATAAGCAAAACTGCGCAATATCATTGGCCACCAAGGTTATCAGTCAAATGGCCATACGACTTCCGTGTAGGCTATATTATCTGTCACTGAACGTTTGCTTTCCATTTGATTTGGAGGTGATTCAAAATCGGCTCTGCATAGATAATGTAGTCATGTTTTATGACGTAAGGTTAAACTAAAACTGCAGCGACCAGTCAGTCACCCTATCTATCTATCTTTATTTATTTATTTATAAAATAATTTGTATTTAGTCAGTCACCCCAGAGACGTTGAAAACCATATTTAACGGCTCTGACTCACCCTATCGCTGTCAGTCACATTGACAGTAAAAGAACAGTAAAAGAAAGGTCAGTCAGTCACGCTGATTCCAATGACGTCATCCCATGACTTCCCGTTACAGTCGAAGTACGGAAGTGGTCTGGACTGGCCGAAAACTTTCCCGCAAGATTCATTTTAAAGTCGTTTCTGTTCCTTGAGGGTGCAATCACTAAGTATGGCGTATCCTGGGTATAATAATGTAAGTATCACTTATATGTTTTATGTTGTAGAATGTAAAAAATAATTTGATTTAAGAAACGCCAGATTGGTTGAAAAATCTGTAACTTATATGTCTTGTTACGCCCCAAATTGTTAACATTGAATAAATTACATATAATTTAATACCTGTAATTATTGCATTTCCTCTAATATGGATTTGGCATAAACTAATATGGATTAGGCTTAGCGATGTGCGCTAAGTGATTGCGCTGCGCTGTGTGATTGACCACAGCGGGTTATACCCGAGCCCAGTATCAGAAATGTAACTTTTTAACTACAGGGCTATTATTTGCCCACCGCCCACCCGGTTTTCTAGGGCAAAGAAATTTTCAACAATACAGTACATAGCCATTACATTTTTATTTTGTTTTGTTTTCCATTGAAACATATAAACATTACTAAAGCAAATTATGTTGATTTAAAATTGTGGAATAATATTTTTTTTTGTCTTAAACATGTCTTGAAATGTGTTTTAAGCATAAACTGTCTCTTCCACTTCTAGAAATTTTATTTTAAGAATGTTTAGATGTTTTTATCAAATATATCCACCAAAAATAAATAAATAATCACAGCATGTCGTCCATCTATGCCACAGAAAAAAGCTAAATGAATCAAGTGAAATAAATTCTATATTTGCACACCGCCCACACACATTTTTTTAAGGGCAAGGACATTTTCAACAATACAATACATAAGCCATAACATTTTTGTTTTGTTGTCGTTTCCATTGAAACATAGAAAGAAACATTAGTAAATTATATTGAACTTTAAAATTGTTTAACCTATTGGCAAATAATTTGTCTTGTTCTAAGCATAACATTTCACTTCTAGTAAATCTTATTTTAAGTTTTTTTTTAAATGTTTTAATAAAATATATCTTAAAAAATAATCTTTTTTTTTTTGTTGTTGCTGGCTGCGTGTCACAGCACATCATCCACCTATGTCAAAAACATAAGTTAAATGAATCAAATGAAATAAATTCTCAGGCTGAATTCCTGCACTGTCGGGAAGAAAAAATGTGCAAAAATAATGCCGGTTTAGCAAGCCACAGCTTGTGACTTGCCACTGGGAAAACCTGTTGTAGCCCTGAAAGTTTGGTTCCCCCTTTTTTCTGAGAGTGTATAAGTCCAAATATTTATTTATATATTTTGTCACTTTTATTGACATTTTCTGCTCCAAGTCATGACTTTCTATATGCCTGTCTAATTTAGCATGAACAGGTTAAAGTAAAAAAAAAAAAAAAAAATGTATATAACCATAATAGCATACATGTGGTTTCACCACAGAAAGCACATGTATAGCCTTTTGGCTATGAACAGGCTGTAGGCTGGAGTTTATTTAATAGGCCAAATAGTGATTGGCCGGCCCTGTCTGTACTCTTTGTAAAACCCAGTGGAATGTTATGAGTTTAATTGGACAATTGTGTGTGTGTTAAAAAAAATCCAAGTGGCGTAATACATGATGTTCAGCAATTGGTTGGTTGATACATTCTTTTGAACAGACACTAACGGTTTATTTAGATTGCACATTTTATTCTAGCTGTAGCCTATTAGGGCTGTTGTCAGGGGCAGAACACTTGAACCTAGTTGTAATAAGTCTTACATGTAGTCATGAACCGAAATTTACATCTGAAAATCGTTTTTAATCGATCTGCATTTCAATAAACCAAGATATTTTAGTCTATACTGTTTTCAGGTTGGCTAATGCATGAACAAATCGTTATTTTTAGCGCACCTAACGTTACCATCTAATAGTCGCAATAAGCATTGTGCTTTGATACGAAACAAAGTGTGAGCTTTCATATTCTGTAGGCAACATTTTTTAATGAAATTCAAACAATGTTGTGTTGGTGCTTTTTTGACATATCATATCACTTTAGCCACCTCAGTTCTTCTTCTTTACTTATAGCACGAAATAAACAATAATGGGCGTCAGAAGGTATGTTAAAAGAAACTTACTGAAATGTAGCCTACAACTTACTGAAATGTCTCATGTAATCGCTCCATCAATGTTTCAAGATGTCAATATCTCAGGAAAGCCATTCAATGTCCATTAGTCAACTAAAAAGCACCATATTACATAATCATTATATTTTTTACTTAAAGCTACAGCTACAGTCACTACGGTACACCTATAATAAGAGTTTATAGTCGGACTATTTTGGACTAGTCAGCAGCTTTAAAGGAGAACTCCGGTCAATTTTAACATTGAGCTCATTTTTTTGTACATTTGGAGTGCTGTCAGTACAGACAAAACGACAAAAATCGGTGTTGCCTACACCGTTTTATCCTCTTTTTAAAATTCGCACCCTGTTGACTTCAATGGGGCAAGTTCTAAACCTGCTTTTAGCCCACAGTCCACAGTAGTCGATTGTCGAGTTTGCGCGCGCCATCATTGGTAACTAAAGCCCCTTTCACACAGCGCTTTGAACCCGGCAAATTGCCAGAACGCCTTCTGCGTGAACGCAAACACGACCCGGGATTGATGCCGGGACCGATGCCGTGTTGGGGACCTAGTAACATTGCCGTGTTCAGACCCGGAACGCGCGCTGTGTGAACAAAAGCCAGAAGCAATGCCGTGTCGTAATGATGACGCTGAAGTGAAGTGAAAGCAGGCTAGTGAAACGGTACGTAATGCGCTAGTTTATGATCGAATCAGAGAAAAAAAATGCACAAGCGTGGTTTCTCCAGAGAGAAATCGCAGCTCATAAGCAAACTATACACGCTACTGAGACATTACATGTCACATCGATGTCACGTGTCTTTACGGGATTTTTACGGGTTGTGTGTGAACCCACTCTGATTCCGGAAAATCACTGGCAGTGTGAATGAACCAAAATCAAACGAACCCGGGTCAAATCCCGGGTCGCTTTATCCGTGTATTTTCCGGAATCTCTGTGTGAAAGGGGCTTAATATAACTAACTAATGATCGCGCGCGCGAACTCGACAATCGACTACTGTGGACTTCGAACGAAAACAGGAAGTAAATACAGGTATGTGAGCTGGCTGAATTAACATCATTTTTATTAATATCTTTCACATCTACTGCAGTCAGATTGACCGTGGTCACTCTTAATAACACCACTCACATGGCTGTGCACTTGTAATGACAAATCAAGGATGTTAAGAGGCTAAAAGCAGGTTTAGAACTTGCCCCATTGAAGTCAAAAGGGCGCGAATTTTAAAAAGAGGATAACACGGTGTAGGCAACACCGATTTTTGTTGTTTTTGTCTGTACTGACAGCACTCCAAATGTACAAAAAAATTAGCTCAATGTTAAAATTGACCGGAGTTCTCCTTTAACCTGTTGTCTTCATTGTTAAATGTATGTTTGATTAAATCTGTCAAGAAAGCAAATTTATGTTACAACCACCATTTAAATGTTAATATTTCAACAATGAATTAGAGTAGAAACATAATTATATCATTAAAAGGTCGATATAAAACTGCCATATGTGCAATTTAAATGTTTGTATACAGCTCAGTGTATATATAACTCATTTGATTATTAAATAAACTTTGAGGTTCGTTTTTTTCAGTACAGTACAGTAGGCTGCTTAAAAGTGTCACTATTTTACTTGCAGTTTGGTGGTCCAAT